GTAGCTGGGCATCCAAACTGTGCGACCCACCTGTCCATGAACACACGGAAGATGGTATCAGCCGTTACACCAGTAATGGGGGCTGCTTCTAGCCGACGAGTGAAACGATCGACGCAGGTGTGCGAGTATGATTAGCTATGAAATGGAGGTAGTGGGCAGACAAAAACCAGATGGACATGACTAAATTGGCGTCAGGTGTTGCGAATGATCCAGTCGGATTGATATTATGCTTGTGAGCTTTAGTGCGTTAGCATTTCACACAAAGCACGCGCCAAATTACGCAAGTCACGGTTTGTGGCAGGCCACACAGATCTAGCTGATATCAATTGGTCCGTTGGGCGTATTCCTGGGTGTGAGAGGTTGTGAAGACAGCCGAACACGGTGCGATGTAGAGACGCGGCAACGATAGGTCAAGGAGTGCCTGTAGAAGTATCGAATTATATATTTGCTACACTACTCATCAAAGGGACACGTTCTCCCTTCTAAGTTCATATCCGTGAGCTGAAGTTCAATCAGTGCTTGTACAAGCATTGGATGTGATTAATAATTGCGTGTGCACTAAACTGTGTGTTTTCTCTCCGATAGGGAGCTGACATTAGTGTTTGGTCAGAGTTGACAGGGATGTTCCGGACGAAGAATCATTGGTACCCTGTGATGCCCGTGACTTATTAATCTGCTTATTGTTTGGAGACATGCTAATTGTCCTCAAATGGGTTTCATTATGGCATCGCAGAAGAATTGTGCCGTAAATTCTGTCAAAGTTTGTTTGTGTATCATACTTTGAAGATACAGAATGGTTGGTAGCTGAGCTCTGAGTGTTGCCACTGTGCCGTCTTTCTACACCAGCCTTTAGTGTGACTTGGCGTATTATGCGAGCAAGTTCCGTCATTATTTTCCTTGGATCGTATGGCCCACTCTATACTTTCGATGTGGTTGTTAGCATAGTTTGTATATTATTTACCTTACAGTGTGAATTCTTCTTAGGAGTCTGAGAATGCAGGAGATTTTTCGTTACAAGTGTTCTACTTCGTCATGTTTTGCTACCAAATTCCATTTGGATCCTCGCGTTATGGCTAGGAGAGGATGTTGTGGACTTACAAGAGGGATTGATTTCCATCTTAGGGCTATCCAGAGACATATCCAGAACCACGGTAGAGGGTAGAGGGGCTAATTCGGCTAATTCACTATCCCTTATGTTGGTGTCTTGTTCTGTTGAACTACTCTTGTGAGATTTGATGGGGAGAGGCTATGAGTTCTAACGTGTTGGCCTTAGGTTTATCTTTTCAGGTGACTTGCGGTGTCTTGTCTTTCTTATCAATAGGTTTGGTGGGGTGATTGTAAGAGTGCCTTCCAGTCATTATCCTAACTGCCACAACTTTTGTTTGTTTGTAGGTTGCGTTGTGAATTGATGAATTTCTTAGCCACTGTCTGTGTTTCAGACTGTAGGCTTATAGGAAGCAATGGTCCTGCTGGCTCCTTTTTAAATTGTGGCACTTATTTTGGGAGTTGAGCATTTTCGTAGCCCCAAGTGAGATGCTCTGAACCTTTTTCAACCCCTCATTACCCGGCATATTATAGAAAATCACACTTAGTTTAGTTCCTAGTCTTTTGATAACCTCCATTGTGTCTACCTTAGCTACTGATTCTGTTTCAAGTCCGTCAGGGTTTATGGTTGTGGTCAGGATGCTGAGAGGTGTAAGTACAAGACCTGTGATTTTATGTCACTAATCTGTGTTGTTCAGATGTGCCGGCCACATTTTCTGAACATACTGCATTCATAGCCTTATTACACCTTATATCCCATATCTCAGCCTTCAGCTCTTCTACAGACAGCTTCAGTTGTTCCATTTCTGGGGTAAGTGTTGAAGCTGAACTTGGTATCTGTAGCAGGGTGACACATACATTAAGTGAAGTGAAGATGTCTGTGTCAGGATCAGATGCTGGTTTAGTAGAAGCCACGCTAGTACTAGTCGTCAGCATGTTTTTGCTGTCAGCTCCAGCTACAGTAGATGACACACCAGCTTGAGTTGTGTACCTCACTTCCGTGTTTTGTGTGAGTTCTGTTGCTAGTTTTTGCCACGTGCTATCAGTGATCAGGTTAACAGGTGATTGAGTTCGTGGCTTTTTTATATGATTAACCATAACAAACTAGTGAAAGAGTTGTTGTTTACAATTATGGAACTGGAGAAACGCTTGTGCGGGTCTCATAGCAAAAATAGAAAGGAACAGTGATCAAGCTGAAATGTGACGCAAACGTTGAATGTACTGGCTACTCATATCGTATGGCGTTGAGGCTGTGGCGCTTAAGTGTATGTTAACGAGGCACTCTTTTGGGTAAGTGAAGTGTGGAAACCTGGTAAGACAGACAAAAGAGTACCTATCATTCAGCGTCTTTTAATAGAGGAGGGCAGCCTTACGAGCCATTCGAGGGTCTAATTCCATCTGCCTACCAAACCAGCCCTTCTGAATTCCGTAAACACTGCGCGCCTTTAACTGACGATAGCGTTCTGCGTTGAAGAGATCCCATGGGGGTATATGCAGACTGTATTCTTGCGAAGGAAGATAACGAAGCGGCATTTGCTGGTTCACCCTTACAGATCTTGGTTTCATCACATCAAAGCGTCTTCCATCTAGTAACCAAGACAAATGGGGATCTTTAAAACAAGAAGTAAATTGAAAAATACGGATAATTATTCGAAGTTCCCCTTCGATAAAGTTTACAACAGTTGGTTTAGTGGGTAGAATTTAAAGAACAAATCTGAAAGATCACCGCAACTATCTCTACACAATTCTCAAGTTCAAACGCCTTTGATTCAGAGGTGAATGACTTAACCCCGATTTTCTCAGATAAAAGAGTATACTTTCCTAATAACAACGTTTACTCCACTACTTCAACTGCAAATTACGCAGCAATAGGTTCTCTTTCATCGCTTTTCTTTGTGCATCAAGTCTTGTTCTGATTTCTTTACTGCTAAGTATGGGCACATATGGAATTTCTTACCAACTGGAAGGAAAAGGAGCCGTATGTAAAGATAACCTACTCATCTGCTAAATAAATGTTTCTTCGAAAATATCCTGACATATTTTGCCACCGGCTAAAAACTAATGATGTCGTTTTCTAACCCTCTGACTTACACAGATGGGCATTTCTCTTCACTCTACACACTAAAAGAACAAGCAGAATTTTCATATTTATTTATCGTCATTAATACGACACTAAACTGTGCTAAATTTTGTTATAGTTGATTGGTATCTTTGATTAGTCAACCCACCTCAAAATGCCCCCAATCCGAATCTGAGGGTAACTCCCCACTGTGACATAATAATTTTTCCTTCACGTTCCCAGTAGAACATAGGGCTTCAAGCTAGTGGCGTGGCAGTGTTTATTTAATAGGATGGGGTTGCTAGCCTCGTGCCCAACCTTTCCTCTCTAGCAGCATTATTTTTGGCTAGCGAGGTAAAGGAGTGCGTCGGCGGCAATCGAACCCCGGACCGTGTGCATGATTGGTGAGCGCCCTAACCACTGTGTCGCCGATGCGCACACTGTGACAGTTGCTTTACATCTATATGGGATATACTGCTTGTAGCCACGTCATCTCCGCTTTCGAAACTAATTCCACTTTATCTCCTGCTTCACCCTTCATGAATCTAATAGCTGATTGTCAAATTAATTTACTTCCTCCACTACAGTGTAAGTCTCGGGTATCAATAAATACTCTGTAAATCTGATTATATGAAGCTAAATGAAACCTATTGGGCATGTACTGTAGTTAACAGTCCTTTGCCAGTATATCCACACAGAAAGACTAACCATGTTGTTTGATTATTTCATATATCCCCCTTGTCTATCCGTCATAGCTTCCTTGCGTTTGAAAAAGTAGTCCTTGAATAAGCTGCCCATTCTAGGAGTTTTTCTTCTTTCCCTAAGTTAAAAGGTTGCTTACTAAGAGTACTCATTCATACCACAACTAATTTGAATGAAAGTAAATCATTAAAGTAAAAGAGGATGCATGCGGATGAGAGGCAAGCGCAAAATAGAGCATGACAGAGAGGAATCTCAGATGGGCCCAGCATTTTAAGTGTGGGAGTGCGTAGGCGGTCAGTCAACAGACCTGACTGTCGACACATATGCGAACCACCTTCTGTTAGAAAGCACTGTCTTTCGTTTCGGCTCCTGAAAGTGAATGACTTCCATAGAAAATGGGTGAAATCCTGAATTTCAACACCTAGGCGTGGGCTCTCTCTTGAACGCAGCCGAGTGGTATGAGCTGATTAATTTACACAATCACCTTAGTATATATTTCAAAGCAACAGTCCACAACATCACAATATTAGCCCTCTGCTTTCCGTGTCAGTCAACGCTTGCGTACTGACCCTTCGGTTTAACGTTTTGATGGGAGCCTGCAAAATACAGTATGTTACCTTCCTCAAGAATCATGTGGTTTATCTTGTAATGGAGTTACCATGTGAACATAATATTTCCCAAGCACATTGTGATTGTGTGATCAGTTCACCATCTTTTGTCTCACCTTGGTTTCTGTCGGATCATCAACCAATCGGGATAGATATTTCCAACCAACAGGAACTATACTATTGGGATTAACATTTATCAAGTGTATGTATAATCTCCAGCGTACATGTAAAACATATTTTGCTATCAACTGTAAATTGTGATTGAATAATATGGTTCTATTTCTGCAAGTCTAGCTCACTTTCACGACATTTTTCATACTAGTAATCCTTTTTACACCTCAAAACAAGTGAAAACTTTGATGAATGGATCTATTGCAATCGTATGAATGCTTAATTTATGTGAATAACCTAATATTATTATGACAACCCCCCTTTAATAGCTTCTTGTAATTTAAACAAAAGACCCAGTTGCCCAGATGAAAGCCATGCAGTTTTTCGGGGTACAAATGCATGCCATATGGCCCGCTACAAGAAAACTATTCCACCCAAACAGAAGTCATGTTAAGTAGGTGACGAATCCACAGCACATGAATGAATCCTACTCAAAAGATGATCATGGGAGAAAAAGTGATAAGAAAGAACTGTAGCAGCTACAAATAGATTTCAGCTGAAACAGAATCGCGCGTGAAACATCTTGCATTCACTCTAAAATCTCGCTTATGATGTTGATTTTGAGAGTGAAGTAATGTTTTCTAAGAAAGGAGAACTGCAAAAGACACATGGAATAAATAGGATATTAAGTATAGCCCTTATAGAATAGAAAGATTGGTTTCATCACTCTCCAGGTAATTTATGTAGTTGGTTTTTAGCTTTCAAAATGCTTAAAATGCATATAACTAAGGCCTTTTGTACCGCCTGTATTTATGACCAAAAATTTATTTTAAAGTTTGCCGCTCTAATCTAGAACTTCTAGTGCAAAATCTCGTGCTGCATCCGTCATATTTTTAGTGGTTATTAACTGCCTCGCGTCTCAAATTGTGCATCATAACAAAGGCGCATAAAGATTGCAAGGAAAACTATTTACTAGCACTAGTAATATTACGACGTGTCAAAATACTGCAGGGAATTAGCTGATTAAAGTGACCTGCTTTATTCTTCAAGCATCTCTCGACAACAACCGTAGGGCTTGGTAGCCAGTTGTTTTGTGTGGTTTAGACATAATTAATGCTGCCACTGTTATTTCACCACGACTGTACAACTCACTCCCAATCTACTACTGAAACCAACCGATGCAATGTTGAGGTACAAATAATGCACATTTTGAGAACACCGCTACCATAACTCTTGTCACAAGCACACTTCTTTGACACAAAGTAGAGAAAAATGCATCATAGCATGAGACTAAACTGGAAAGGTGACCTATTTCGACTCTTACATATGAACTTCTGTAGCATCAGTGGACAGTCTGAAAGACATCATGAATTCGTGGGCACTGCTATCATCTAGAAATAATTTTGGGTTTTAGGTAACTTTAAAATTCACTTTTGAGACACGAGGTAACTAATAGGAGCCAATCTTGCAAAACTTTTGTCACTTTTTTGTTCCTTAACTCTGATTAGTTTCTCATGATGAGTGTAAAGTGGATAGTGAGGCTGTCAGAGTTTAACTTTTTTTGAAAAAACAATAAATACAACTATTGTAATAAGCTTTTGCCAATTTAATAGTATGATGATATAGTTGTTAAAATGCGCTATCTTTGAAGGCCAAGATAGTTCGGGATTTTAGATTGTGTGACTAATTACTGTTCCACATGATGTCAGCCACCAGACCTTTTGTCCCTAAGACCTCCACTATAACTTCGGAATATACAATCACTGATAGTGTACTAGGTTTTGGAATTACGGGGAAAGTTGTTGAATGTATTCACAAAACAACGGGTGTTCGTTATGCCTTAAAGGTAATGTTAAATACTTACTGCATATGAACTAAATAGATACTTGAAGACAACCAGAAATCAAGACGTGAGGCCGAAATTCACTGGAGGGTATCAGATTGCCCACATATAGTGAAAGTTGTAGATGTATTCGAAAACACTAATCATAACACAAAGAAAAACTATCTGTTAATGGTGATGGAATGTATGAAGGGGGAGAACTTTTCAACAAAATCAAAGAAAACGAAAATTTTACAGAGGCGGTAAGGCAATTTTGTGCATTTTATCTTTTTAGAAGCTGCTAAAATTGTATATCAGATATCATCTGCAATTAGCCATCTTCATGAAAGGAATATTGCGCATCGTGATTTGAAAGTGAGTTAGTTTTATTATTTGACAGTGTTTTAGCCTGAAAACTTGTTGTACACATCAAATGAGCCAAACGCTATCCTCAAGCTTACGGACTTCGGTTTTGCAAAGGAAGTTGTTGCCAAAAAGTCTCTCCAAACACCTTGCTACACTCCTTACTATGTCCGTAAGTTACTTCATACTCTTATTGCAATATACCTATAGCTCCTGAGATACTTAATTTTGAGAAATATGATAAATCCTGTGATATCTGGTCCTTGGGTATAATCACTATATATTGTAAGTACTTCATATTTAATAACACTTTTTAGACTCTCTGGTTGTCCACCATTTTTTAGTCAGAACGGTCACCCTATTTCCCTGGGATGAAGTCTAAGATCCGTGCGGGAAAGTATGACTTTCCAGATGCGCAATGGAAACATGTATCCAAAAGTGGTGAGTTAAGCTCAATGTATCACATAAAGTATTATTTTGACTGAGTAAATTCATTGTGCATGCATACTCCTTCGCTCTAAAAAGTGCGCCGTTAACAGAGGTGTTAACTGACTCCGCAATTCAAGCTGGGAAAAAATAGCCTAAGTGAATCGCAATATACAGACAAAATAATCTTATCAACTGAGTTGCATGTTGCTTATGATGTAGTGAGATTATAACTAATAATTTATTTTGATGACGGATCAGGATTAACAGGAGTAAGGTTCCTCCCCAAGGAATCAGCAGTTGAGCTGTGTCAACTTCTTGCCCTATGTAGTGGAAATTAAAATAGGTCAGCCTTGAAATTGTATGATAACTTGTCCTATGATAGTACACATGTAGGGGACTTTCTAGGGGTTCAATAACAGAACAAGTATTTGAATAAAAATCCATGTTAATGAGATGACAGTGTAACAGTATGGCATAAAAATACAGTAATGAGTTGTATAAATTAATTGGTTGGACATGCAATCAAAGTCCACAGCTACAAATTATTAATTTAATGTAGAAGAGTTCACTGCTGGAGTCGTGTCTACTGGTCGAAGCTGCGCACCAGTTGTAGGATAGTCTTTGGATGAGGACAAGAGGTTCCTGCAGAAATCCAAAGTACGGTTGTGAGTTAAGCAAGTAGAGAGTATAGACTATTGAAAAGACAAAACGACCAGCAGTACCACTGTATTTTAGATTGTACTCGGAAGTTATCTATATTCCAACAAGAATCGTTTTAAACAAAAGTCCTGTACAGTGTTTCTAATTGCAACATCTAACAAAAGATTGTACAATCATATTGTTACGTGCTCTACACATACACTGCGAAGTTTCATAAACTTATCTTTCCCCCTTGGTGTATGGTCACACAAAACTTATCATTCCTTTTCAAGATTCTGAAGTACAAACGAACTCCCTCTTTTGGGACACCTGAAACACACCCTTAGCTCACAGTCTTCTGTGAAACCGTGAACTACAATTATTCATCATTCATTCACTTCATATCCTTTCTTTGTTCACATTGCTTATATTGTTTTCTTCACAGCTACAGGAAATCACTGACCGTTGGTAAATACCTTAAATAAGCAACATCGTTTCTAGTCTGTTGAAAATATATTACAAGCTTCTTACTTGAACTTTTCATACGCGTACCTTATTTAAAGCAGGACAATAAACTTCATTAGACAAAACTGTGAAGCCTAAGTCCTTAGGCGCATGCCATTTTTCTGAGACACACACAGAAGGTTCAAGCATATTTGTTTGTTTTTCGTCCCCTCTCTGTTAATATTGGTAGGTCCTTAAGTAACAGTTGATTCCCTTTATATGTGTATATTTTGAATGTGCTGGTGTATCAGCAGTATTATTATCTAACCCGAAAACTCGCTAATTAATTGCATCACATTGGTTTGTGTGCTTTTCTGTTGAATGGGTCCGTATGAGTAAAGATGTGTGGAGAAACTTTTTGATGTCTTTCCGTAACTTTGACCTACACATTCACTAAATTATGTTTGAACAAAGTAGTAGACAAGTTTTATAAGAAGCTGTCCGTTTTGTTTTGAAGATCAAACGACATAGATGTAGTTATATTAACTGATAATTTTAATACTCACGGCGGGAAGCTGGGCCAGACAAAAAGTATTTTTTTAGTTGTATATGAACTATGATGCAGGCGAACCTACAATGGTGATTATCTTATGGAATATCTATTCATTGTCATCACTAAGATCCAAAGTAAAGAGAGACAGTATCATACTTAATGAACACACGTATCCTTCCAGTGATGCATACAATAGACAACTTTACAATTCATTATCCATGCTGAGTTTGTTTGAAGATTACTTCCGCTTTTGAAATACATGCATAGTTTGAATGTGTTCAAAAGACCATACGGATGTAGAAGATGAGAGGTTGAAAAACTTTCAAGTGCTTTTCGGTGAAACCAAAAGTCTTGTATTTTGAGTGATAATGGTAGTAATGGTCTTCCTGACGAAGCTTGGTTCCATAACCAGCTGTCTAGCATTACTTGAATGGGATGTAATCATCTATCCCCCCCAATCCGGTCAAGTGTACGAAAGCCGATTCTGGTCTGAAACTAAGCAAGATATTATGGCCCGATAGCTTCATTCCAAATCGTTTTTCCAATATATTGCTGATATATTAAGGATTAGACTAAAACACTGACCAGCAAAGACGAATCTGATGTAGGTTCATCACACTGATGCAGATTGTTGATCAGATATTTTATAAGAAACTCGAAAAGTTCTCATATGACTGTCACTTGGGTATCAGTTTAGTTAACATGATATACTACTTGGGCACTGTGGTAGAATATAACTCTATTATGGATAAGATATTATTTTGATAAATAACTCAGTGTTGTACAGTAATATTTACTGATGACCACGTTTCGAGTACAAATTATTGCATGAGTAAAAATTGGTGATTAAACATTTAAATAAAATCAATATACTATTTGCGAAAAACAGAAAGAAAGATAAGATACATTCCGGAATAATGTTAGTGTCATCAATAAAATACAACAGGGTGGGAAATAAGATGCTTTTTATAGTAAAATAAATAAATAACTTGTTAGGATGTTATAATGTAAATTGAAATGCATTTTAACATTATTAATCATCCTCTGATTTGGCTGGTAATAACTTCTCCCATATCTCTGGTCTTTGCGTTGTCACTTCTGTTGCATATGTTGTGTTGGGTGTAGACTCGATGAACTGGGATTCAATAATCAATATTTCTCTCCACCCACCTATATTACATTTCGGAATTTTAACTCTGTTGTGTTTGTGTGCTAATGCATGCAGTGTGATTGGTGAGCTTTTTCTCTCTCTAAATTACTCTCATTCGTGGGACCAATCATGCTAACTTTAGCCAAATTCTTATGTCTGCTCCTGGTCTACTAGTTTGACCTATGTAGTTGACTTAACTCGCAGCCATAGCGAGGCATTTTGTTAATTATATCATTTTGTTTAACTAGGTCCACCGGGTCTTTCAGTCTACAGAGCTTGGCCTACCTGAGTGAGTTTGTAGGTTTGAGTGCCACCCTAATTCCTGCTTTATCGAGAATCCTACGTAGGGTTTCAGATGTCCCTTCCTTATATGGTAGAACTGTAAATGCCTTATATTCTTTCTAATTTTGTGTTAAATGACTATCCCACAAAATACAGTAGGGATATCGAAAAACGTCAAAATCTGAATAAAATAATGGTGAAACTAATTACAATAACATAAATAAGAGAGAATATAAGGCATTTATGATGATCGTTTCAGACATACTAAACAAATCCAGATCCTGTCAGCTTTGATGATCACTAGTATTAATGCAACGATATTCTACTTAATGATTAAATGTCGTTTTTTATTCGGTTGTATACGATAATTTTAGTTAATTCCAGTAATATTTTATACTTTGATTAGTTATCTTGCCTTATAAGCATCGACACAGTGCTATCATTATTCTGTTCACGAGCGTTGGCAACATTCTCGGCGGAATTATATTATTCAAGCATGCAGTCTGTAACTTTGTTGATAGACTTCATAAAATATCGTAAACTTTAGTCACTCAAATGATATATATTTATACGTAGCTACTGTCTTACCTTTCTAGCCAGAAATCATTTCTTCATTATTTGAAAGTCGCTAAGGTTTTTGATGCGACAAGTGGGTTGTTGTCTCAGGTAGACATTGAGGAGATCGTGTGAGGAGGAGATGAAGATTATGGGCTGCCGTGATCCAGGCTAAAGAGAACAGCAGAAGATAGGACAAAGTGGAGATGTGTTGTTGAAGCCCTATGTTCCACTCAGAACCAAGGGAATAATAATGATAGGGTTTTTAGTATCTTACTGTTAGCTGTTAACATGCCTGTACAATGTGTGCGTCGGTGGCACAGCGGTTAAGACTCTCGCCGACCATGCACGTGGTCCGGGGTTCGATCCCCTGCCAGCGCATACCTGTTATCAATGGTTGGCCTGCAAAATTTGGGCTACCGATATTACATGCTGAAAATACCATACTTGTACCGAAAATACTGTGTGGTTTCAAGCTATAATCAAAAAAATAAAATAAATAAAATAAAATTTACTGTTGCATAGGTGAATTATATCTCCATAAAACTGGAAGAGATTTTAAGATGAGAGAATGATATTCAGAGTTGATCCCTACTTATTTTTTTTTAAACACCGAATTATTTTTATATTTAGTAGAAGTAATTTGATTTCCAGTTGTTATGATCAGTTGATTGAATGACACTAACTGTTAGCATAAATAAAAAGTACTTAAAATATTTTGTAATTCTGGTAGACTTCAGTTCAGATGACAGAAAACGAAAACTCCTATAGTCTAATGACTAAATCATTGTACAAATCTGTTTTAGTCGTTTTTATACTATTTGTTAAACTTTCTGAGAATAATTCAGTTCAAGTCTAGAAAAAACACGTAAAAATTGAAAAATAACTTTATCATGTGTCTTTAAATTTATTCTTCTTAACACAGTAAAGTACGAAAAATTAAAATCCTTTAGACACTTATTCCCCTTTATAAATCTGAATGAAAGAAAAAAAAAACAGTGCTTTGAACCACATTGATTGCATTCTTTCATGTGTTTAAGAGCTGGAGAGAAACATAGCACAACGATCCTCTGTGTTATATGAGCTGTCAAGGGATGAACGCCAAGCTTTCACTGAATATATGAGTATGGTCAACGGAAAGGTGAACAAAAGCCGTTCATTCAAACCTATTAAATAGCCTGAAAGCCACTGAAATGCGACGCGAATTCCCGGAAGGTCTAGTCGAATTTGTGTTCACTCATTCTTCAGTGAACTTTACCTACCTGGGAAGCATCGCTCCAACTACAGGCAGACGGAACTGACGAGGATATCAAAGCCAGAATCGGAAAAGCAAGACAAGCTTTCATTACTCTCCAATCTGTGTGGAGGTCAACAGCACTCAGCATCAAA